AGAAGAACCTGTGAAACCAATCCACACACAGGAGAATGCAAACCATTTACATTAGGAAAGTTTTTGATTCAGAAAATCTTACCTCGTCACAATCTCCTTCAACCATGGCATAAATAGCTTTCTTAACCAAGTTTGTACCTGAAACACAGATTTCAGTCAGTGTCAGAGTTGCAGTGCAAAAAAAAAAAAAAAAAAAAAAGCTGTTTTATAAATGACTAATGTGTGCTACCTACATGACATGACACCTGGGGAAGGCAGGGAGGAAACACGAACACAAGAAGTTACAGTCAAGCTGCAGCCTCAATATTTGAACACGATAATAACCCTCGAAGTTATCCAGAGACTCAGCTTAAGTGCAAGATTCTTCTGACATGGGGATATTAGAAACAGGCTGCTATGCTTAACACAGTGTTATATATAGCCTTCCAAGATGTGATTCATTCCTTTTTGTTGCATTTCAAGTCAAAATCTGCTGGCATGTACTTGAAGGACATTTATCTTCCAAGGGAATTTCCTCTTACTAAAACAAATACCTCTATTAGTAACAGAGCTCATGAAACCACTTTTCTCGTGGCTCACTCCCCTTTGGATTTGCTAGGATCTAATAATACTGTTGAAGCCCATCCCTTCCCCTCAGTCAAGCATTAATTTAATTTTTTTTAGTCATTATTTTGCATCTATTTCACAACAGTTCTACAAATGTAATATCCCTACCTGTCTGTAGAATTGGGGTGAAATTGAAAGTTGATTTCAAAGTTATTTAGTGGAAAAAACTGCTGTTCAATGAAATTGCATAAATCTCACTTCCATAAGAAGGTTAAGGAAAAGGAAAAAAAACCCCAAGGAATCTAGAGACTGTTTGAAAATATTCTCAAAACTTTAATCAATTAAGATTTTTTTCATTGAACATATGATAAAACTGTACTACGTTTAAAGCAGATCTTTGGATTTAACAGCACACTTTGAGAAACAGCAAGGTGGCAAACACAGGAAAAAAGTCAACATATATAATGCTAAAGTCAGCAAGGCTTTAAGATAAATTCCATTTATACAATTCTAACATAACCAACTGACTAAAGGGAGGGAAAAATCTTGCAGGGATCTTCATAATAACAGCATTAGCACTTATGAATCCAAGCACCTGCAATTAAATTATGGCAGACTCCTTCATGACTCAGCTAAAAGGGAAGGAGAGACAAGTGATTCTCAGTATCCTTCTCCCTCTGCTCCACTACAGAAACCAACAATGGCTTTTGAATTTGCACTGGAGAGGAAAAAAACCTGCACACGCTCGAACAGTCGTGATAACACATATCCTGCAAGTTTCTTGGAGGTTATTTTTTGAAGAGAGCAAACACAGTGGTACATTCTGCAATGTATCACTGTATTTTTCAACTGGAAGTCATTTTCTGTCCTTAATCACAGAAGCATGAGCTGTTCAGTGTAAATGAGTGGTGAAGCACGTTTCGAAGCTTTAAAGCTGACGTCTGTGTTTTAAGTTAAAAACATGTTCCAAAATGTAATTTCACAATAACAAGCACAAAAAAAAAAAATTAAAGTTCCATAAGAACAAATCTTTAATTAAGCCAACCTGGGTAACTGGTGTCAGAATGAAAATCCCTTCATCAGGGCAAAACTGATTAATGAGGGAGGGCAAACTCCCTGCCAAGAGTGATTTCTTTACCACGGAACTTCCCAACAGAACAGATCTCCACTTCAATCATTCAAGTAACAATACATAGCTATTTTTCTTCACTTATTAATACAATAATGAGCTCCATACATTCTCCCCAACGGGCAATATATGCATAATTTATAGGGAGAAGCCAGGGAATAAGTTCACTGAAGAGAAGAGCCTGAACACAACATGGAAACACAGTGATGAGGGCACGTGTAAAAACACAAAGCAATTCCCACTGGTGTTACTTGACAGGGGTAATAGGCTGAGGTCAGGGGCTGCTGCCTGCCTTTCTTTTTAGCTTTATCATACCCCAGGTGTGAACCTCAAAGGGCGTTTCAGGTTATTTTAACAAAATCAGAGAAGCCACGGGGGAGCTCGTGCGGTCGAGTAAGTCGGGCATGACAGACAGACAGACAAACCACCAGTTCAGCTCAGCTTAAATCTTTGTGACAGCTACAGTTATCCCTATCCCAAAGACAGGATTTAAAATAAGAACAAAAAAAGGCTTTTCTTACCAATTCCTTTTCTTCTGTATTTGGAATCCACTGCTAACATGGCTATATAACCTCTGCGGAACATCTTTTTGTGCATATCCAGCTTGCAGACGATGGCACCTACACACTCCTCCCCTACCATGGCCTTAAAGACAAACATACATTCTCAGTTTGGGATCTGCAGTGTCTCCAAAAGCAGTAAATCAAGTTCTTTTTTTTAAGTGAAACAGCTACACAAAATTTGTTTCCATAAAAAGGCTACAAAAAGATAACGAAATATATCTTAGAAATATCTCAAAAAATATTAATATGACTAAAAGGCTCTTATTTCTTTATTACATTCCAATAAACTTAAAATTAACAACCAGTGAATTGTCCTGGAGAGAAGCACATTATTATTTTTCACAAAGTCTACAGGCAAGAACACGTATGATTGAAAAGGGGGAAATAAATACAATAAAATACCAGGTGAAGGCATAAATCAACCCTTTCACATAGGCTTCTGCAAATGGGAAAAGAAGTCCATTCCTATTTTACAATAATCTGAACTTTCCTGTACAAGGGCTGTGGTAGATAACGTGTTTAAGTT